CGTCCTCCAGGAGGACCCAAGTGAATCTAGCCTTGCAGCCAGGGATGGGCATGAAGTGGGCTCCCCTGGATCCAGCCCTGGGCTAGAGCTGCCACCTAGGCCCACGTGGCCTGGGACTGGTTGCCTGTCCCACTGTCCTGCAGACAAGGCTCTGGCAGGAAGCTCCTTGGAAGGCAGGCCCCAGGTGCAGGAGGCCCCAGACCAAGAGGGCTGAACTCCATGGATGGAAGCCAGCATCCTGAGGGCTAAAGACTTGCTCCCAAATGGGCTTAGACACCCCAAAGCAAATGGATCTCCTCTTCCAGGGAGCTGGCCCTAACTGCCCCATATCACAAGGGACCCTCCCCCAAGTCCCTGTCCCCAGCCTGGCTCTGGACCCAGGCTGAGCCCCCAGTGGCCCAGTCTCTGCCTCCCAGGATGGGAGTGCTTGAAAGCACAGCCTGGCCTCTCCCTTCAAGGCTGACCCGTCCCAAGACGAGGGCACCTCCTGGTGGCATGGTCAGCCATATCCAGCAGTGGGGTGGGGAGGCTGGCCGCAGCATCCCCTCAGCAGAACATGTCAGGTAGCTTATGCCAGGAACTGGGGGTGGAGAGCAGGGGGTCACTTACCTGTGCTTTTCTAGTTCATTGTGTGAAGACCTGTTTAGAGAAAGAGAAACAACTCTCACTGCACTGCCCAACCACCAGAGCACAGGGACAACTAGGCTGAGGGTTTACAGGTGCCAGTAGGAGGACCTGGGCCCCAGGACGGCCCAGAACGGGGGGGAGGGGGACAGGTGAGCAGCTGCTGACCAAAGGCTGGAGGGACCTTGCACCTGTGATAAGAACAGGCCACATAGAGGTACAACCATGTCCAGGGGTGGCCAGGGCTGGCAGGAGGGTTCAGGTCCCCTTCCAGAAAGGGTCGGTGAGGCCCAGGGAGCCGCAGCAGCTAGTCCTGGGGCTGACAGAGTCCAAGACTCCAGGACATGAGTAGTGCAGTACCAACACTGCCAGCCAGAGCACGATCCCACCTCCTCAGGCTCACAGACCTGCATCACAGCCCATTATACCAACGGAGACACCCAGGGACAGAGCAGACCCAGCCCACGAGGGACCAGCCCACAAGGGAACCTCGGAGGATGCTTCTTGGGCCAGTGGGCCAAAGCTGGCCCTCCACTTCCCTCCAGGTCATAGCCTGGCAGAAGTGGCCACCCTGGGCTGGAGTTTAGCCTCTCAGGAATGCAGTGGCCCCATCTGCTGCTCAAGCCCTAACCATCTGGCCCATTCCGACAGGGGCACAGAGTCCTGAGCAGTGGCCAGTGCCACAGCGTCTGCTTTGTGGGACAGTGAGGCATTTCCACATCCCTCCCCCACCCCCCGGCCCAGTTCAGGCAGGGACCTCTCAGGCCAGACAGGGCTCCTAGTGCTGCCAGGCTGCCTCACATGTGAGTGGAGAGCTAGGCCACCTTGGGGCAGCCCAGACCAAACCCTGTGCCTAGAGCTTCTGCTGACCAATCCTGTTCCAGGAGCTCAGGATTAGGCATCTCCTGTCCCCATCTGTAAGGCCAGAGTGCCTCCCTATCCTGCCTGCCTCTGCCACCTGCCACAGCCAATTGGGGCCCAAGGCCGTCCCTCTTCCCACCAGGGTGGCAGGCTCATAGGCCTCCCTGGGCAGCCTCAGGACTGCCTCCAGAACCAGGTTCCAGGGGCCTCGAGTGCCTGCTGGTCACATGGGCTGGGCAAGGTGCCTCAACCTCCCCAGGGCCAGGGAGGCACAGCGGCCAGGCTCCTGGCTGGCCTGAACCACAGATGGGCAGTGTGGGCCTGTAGGTCTGCCCACTCATGAGGAATGCAGGGATCAGTGAGAGTCCTGCAATGTGGAGAAGCCCACCCACCCACCTCTGGAAGGCTGGGCTGGCTCTACTCTGCCAGGAGAAGGGCACTCCTCAGGAGCAGAGGATGGGCAGGGGCCCAGAGCCCCTCCTGGTCCAGACACCTGTGGGAGCCTTGTGGGGAGACTGGTCACACAGGTCCCAGGAGCACCCTGTGCTCTGGGCTATGCTTCCCACAGTGGCCTGGGGAGATGGGGGACACCTTTGCCAGGCCTGTGCTAAACTCATTCCTGGTTTGCTCCTCACGTCAGTCCCTCAAGGTAGCTCTTCTGTGCACTTTCCTGTAGGACCTGACTCCTGGCAGGCAGGCTCCAGCCCTCCTGACAAACAACTGCCCCAGAAAGCCCTTGCTGGAGCCCACACACGTTGCTCTCCCGTCCCCCGACCCAGGTGTGCAGATGTCTGGCAAAGTCAGGCCCCCAGTCCTCTGGGCTCTCATCTGCCCTAGCCCCTGGTCTGGCGCCCCGGGCCTGCCAAGGAACTAGTTCAGTCTCCATCTGCCCTGGCTTGGGACATGCCTCTGAGTCCCAGCCCCTGGTCCCCTGCTGGGGACAGGGTGCTCCTGGGACCTATGTGACCAATCTCCCCACTGAGGCCCCGCTGAGCCAGGAGAGGCTCGAGGGACCATCTCTGTGAGCCTCGGGTGCCTCAGGCACTGGGGGAGTCAGGTTCTGCCCAGAGGAGCAGCAGGGAGGTGCACCCTGGTCCAGGAAACCCTCTTGGTCCCTCCCCAGCATCCTCAAGGTCTCTATCCTGGCAAAATGTAGAAGATCAGGAGTCCCAGAGGTGGGAGGGTGGCAAGTAGTTCAGTCTCTGTGCCTGTTTCCTCAGCCTTAAAATGGTGATAAAAATAACCTCTCCTTCAGGGGATTGGGTGGGTATTAGCATGTACGTGAGACACTTAGTACGCAGGAAACCCTCAGAGCCTTAGATGTGATCCTGGTTATCAGCTTTGGGTACCCCGTGCCATGGGAGTCACATCCTGGTTTCCCATGGGTTGCAGGGCACTTGGGACAGTGAGAGCCAACAGCAGGGGTCTGGCTAGCTCACTGGAGAGGCCTGAGGCAGTGCCCCCCCACCCCAACCCACCCCACCCCACANCCCACCCCACCCCACATGCAGGTACTTTCCCAAACTATCCCCAGCAGGGAACCAGGGGCTGGGACTCAGAGGCACGTCCCAAGCCAGGGCAGATGGAGACTGAACCAATTCCTTGGCAGGCCCAGGGCACCAGGACGTCACAGGAGATGGGTCCTTGTGCCAGCCTTTCTGTTTCCCAAGAACAGGCAGGCCACAGGAATGAGCCGCACCCTCCACCAAGGGGACCCGAAGCCCCCCGCAAGTGAAGCTCCCAGCCTGGTGATATGGACCCAGCCAAAGCGGGCCCTGGGGCAGTGCCAGGTGTGCTGTGGTCCTCACAGCAGCCAGGAGAGTGGAACCCCAGGAAAGCCCTAGGTGAAGGTTCCCACTACTCCCCACCCAGGGATTGGCACCCCAGCCTCAGAGCTTCTGAAATCTGGGTGGGGGTGGGGGGGGTCCCTGCCACTGAGAGAAGCTGCACAGCCTGCCCCCTCTTTCCACCCCTTTAAAAAGGGCCTCAAGTCCCAAGGAAGGGGACTCCACTTGTTGCCCGGGTTTCACTAGTGTCAGGAGGCCGGGCAGGAGCGCGGCCACCGTGGAGGGGGGGGCGGGACAGGGCCTCTGCGGCCTTCTTGGTCCAGGCCCCTGGGGGTGGGGCCCTGGCTCAGCGGCGGGCTCAG